TATTAAGCTTTGATGGCTTGTGTTCGCGAGGCCTCGCCATGGCGAATCGCCTCGCCTCGCCATTCGCCATTTAAAACTATGCATGATAACATTAAATTCCAATTGTATTTCAAATTAGGATTTCCTCTTTGAAGTCTGTTCCCTATCGAGAATGTTATATGTAATATAGAGACATCCTCTGGCACTCTCTCTATCTATAAGCATATGGATTGCGATGACACGTGGTTCACTAAAATTAGTTAGAAACTTCTTTTCGTTTTTAATTCTTCTCCACAATCTGTGCAGGTATGTACCAAATGAAGTCCGTGGAGGCATAATGAGCCTATCTCTCATGCCAGCCAATGCTTCAATCCTTGTTTGTCTAGTCCTGGTACATTTTGAGGCCAAATTATAAACTTTCTAGAAATGGATTAAACTTGGTAAAAAGTCTATGTTGTTAGTGAATGGAAAATCGAGAAGGAACAGAGAAAAGGATTCTTAATCTCTACATGTTTTCAGTCATTTGTTTCTTTTGTGTGATGTGTTGGGGTTTGATGGTTGAGGTTTGTGATAAATCATTTTGCAGCTATAGACAATTGATTCTTCTAGATACACGATCAATAATTTACTGCAGGAGATGAGTTCTTTCTGCTGTTTGACAATATTACAATCCGTAGCTATTATGGGACATGAGTTTTTCTTATGTTTGATTTTGCAGAGAGGATATTATCAGGTAATCATGAATTCGACTATCATCTTCTTTGCGGTACTCGGGCTTTTCTCAGCAGCGGGCTGCATGCATTTGCTCAAGAAATGGGGAAAGCAACTCCACCATAGTCGTCACCACTTGTGATCTACAAAATGAGCCTTGAAGTAGGAAAACATTTTGAATGGTCATAAAGAAGTCCACATAGAGCTCCCAATGCATGAAAAGAGAAGTCAGTGCTAACTACCATTGCGGATGAATTTTTCCTTCCGGATATGTGAGAATTGAGATAAGGTGGCTCTGTTAAGCGTGTAGCTCCACAGACTCTCATACGACAATTTTGGCCTTTTTATAGTCTTGAACATGCGCGCATATATGATGGCTTGTTGACCAATCACAGCTTTGAGGTCCTTCGAGCCATCAACATTGCCAAGGGGCATAGAAGCTTACACTAAACTTTGTTTCTTGGAGGGGTCTCTTTTTTCCTTTTATTTTTGGTAAAGTTGAGAAGTTGCGAATCTCTCTCTCTCCAGGTGTTATATATCGGCTATTTTGCCGAAATTTCACCCAGGGACTCATGTTTGCTCTATATTATTTGTTGTTTAGGAGTACACTACAGATGCTTATGTTGCATTGAAGATAATTGAGAACATGTCGAAATGGCTGATTATTGGCTTATAGCGTTTATTGCAGCCTGTTAGAGATGACTTTTAATAGTTCAAATCAGCCATTAGGCTTTCAAGTGAATATGGCTGATTTATCCTCAAATTCTTTAAGGCGATGTGTAGAATAGTTTTTCTTTTTGTAAATAAATGAGATTTTATCAATTGTTATAATGAAGTGTCATTGATTTTTTATTAATTTTTTAAGTCCAGACCTAAATTTAAACTAAAAAATATGTTTTTGTTAAAGGAACATATTTCAAAAGAATATTTGTTGTAAAAGCAATGAAGGGTAATATTTTTATCATAATTTTTTATTTAATCTGCTATAAGTTTAGCCTGAGTAAGTTATAAATTATGACTCCGCCCCTGATGATAAGGAGTCTC